CAGACAATTCTCCCACACCAGGGACTGAACCTACTGAATTCAGGATCTGCTACTCCCCACCACTGATGTCCACCCCATGCCCCGTCATTGAGCTACACCCTCATTCTGCCTAAGCCTTTATGTTAGTAAAATACTAGGAATTCAGATTACAAAAGTAACAACTACTTATAAAAAATTCAAACAGGACAAAATGAAGTAGAGTGAAGGACTGGTGAGTCTCCTCTCATCCCATCTCATCCTCACAAGAAACCACATCTTTTCATTGTTTATTAGGGTCCTGTCTTCCCAAATCTTCTCTTCTGTACAGATGCAACACTCACCTGGACTTGGCTCATATCACACTGTGTTGTAACCTGCAGGTGCACTTCACGTGTCTTCGACATCTTTGCATATTGGCAGGACAGTAGTGTATTCTTAGACATCCCTTTAAGGCTGAGTGTGGGATCTCAGCACTGAAGCTGAAGCAGGAGGATCAGAGCTCAACGTCAGCTTGGGCTACATAGTGAGTGAGAGGTCTACCTGAGCTGCAGGAGAACTTGTCTTAAAAAACTAAAGCCGGAAGCTGGAGAGATGGCTCAGCAGTTAAGAGCACTGTGTGTGTGTGTGTGTGTGTGTGTGTGTGCGCGCGCGTGCGCGTGTATGTGTGTGTGTGTTGGGGGCTGAGGAAGCAGCGTACACACTACAGCCTGTGTGGGCATCAGAGGGCAATCTGTGGGAGTGGGCTGTCTCCTACCACGTGGATCCAGTATATTGAACACAAGTCTCAAGGTTTGCCGGCAAGGGTCTAACAGCTGAGCCATCTCACTGGCCCTCCTGATAGGATGCTAATATACCTATACGCATCTACAGTCTCAGTCATCCTGATAAATTTATAGGTGGTACCCCCTTTGCTCCCAGAAAAGTCATTTATCAGCCCATGTCATGTGGAGCTGGATAGATGGCTACATTGCTTATCCCCCCAGGTGCACAGTGCATCCTAAAATGAACTCAAAAGCTACCTACCCTCCCAGGGCAAGGCACAACCTGAAAAAAGTTTTACACTGCGTGGAGTGACCTAGAGCAGGACACAGCCTGAGGTTAACACAGAATAGTTTTTGTGAGATCGTCTGGGAGTGGTGAGAGCTGCCTGACTTGAGATTGTATTTATTCTGGCCTTAAGTTAACTGTTCTTTAGCGTTCTTACTTGCAAGTACTTTCATATAAGAGAAATATCAACTCCACGCCTTCAAGTTCACAGTAAATGCTAATTGTGCTACTGTCTTAGGCTTCAATCAGGTTCTAGAGTGAAGGGCTCTTCTTTTACTTCCCCATATCTTTATAAATGTCCCCATATTTCTATCCTGTCTTAGTCAGGGTTACTATTGTTGCAATGAAACACCATGACCAATGATAGTTGGGGAAGAGAGGCTTCATTCAGCCTGTGCTTCCACATCAGAGGACATCGTCAGAGGAAGTCAGGACAGCAGCCTTCCTTCCTTGAGGGAGGGGCCTCAAGGCTCCAGCTGAGGTAGAAGCCATGGATCAGTGATGCTTACTGACTTGTAACTCATGTCTTGCTCAGTCTGCATTCTTAGAGAACCTGGGATCACCAGTCCAGGGATGGCCCCATCTACAATGGGCTGGCCCATCCCCGCTCAATCGCTAATTAAGAAAAGGCCCTACAGCTCCATCTTATGGAGGCATTTCTTAATTGAGCTTCCCTCCTCTCGGGATTATAGCTTGTGTCAAATTGACATAAGCTTATCTGAATTTTATTTTTATGTGTATGTTTCTGTGTGTGCCTGAGGAGGGCCAGAAGAGGGCACCAGATTCCCTGGAACTGAGGTTCCAGATAATGGTTGTTAGTCTTCTGCTGTCACTTTAAGAACTAACCACGCCCACCCAGCCACTTCTGACCTCCCCCTTCACCATCTTTCTCTCTCTCTTGTGTGGTTGTCTCCTGTTGTGTGCACACGTTTCTCTCTGTCTCTGTGTCTTTATGTCTTTATATTTGTCTATCTCTGTCTCTCTGCTTTTCTATTTCTTTTTAAGTATGTCTATCTCTGTCTCTCTGCTTTTCTATTTCTTTTTAAGTAATAAATGTTTACCCTTATGTTTATTTACTATGTCTTGTGAGCCTTTTATCCACTGTAACCGCCCGCCTGACTCCCCTGGCCGCATGGCGTTGCAGGGACTCACAGCCATCCTTGCCGGACTCCGCGAGCCGCCCGGGACATCCCATTATCATATTCTTTTTAAAAGAACAATAATGGTGAGCTGTCCTGTGTGGGTGCTGGGACCCAAGCTCACATCCCCTGGAAGAGCAGCACACACTCAACTGCGGAGCCACCTCTTTACCCACGTTTGTCTTTTTAATTGACATGTTGAGTTTGGGTGGCAGAGCCAAGCTTGTTGAGGCTCCCAGGCTCAGGCTTGACTGAACTCTAAAACAAACATAGAAGTCCGAAACAATCTAAGAAAATACAAAGTATATACAGCATCAGAGAGGGAGTGAGCCCCAAGATACCTATGATTGGCTGGGAGAAGTGGGAGAAGGTTCCTTAGGGAAATGCCCAGTGTCTTGTAGCATAAACGTTGACAGAGGCGCCAGAATTGTACACAGCCACACTGGCTTTATGACCCTCGCTTATCTTGACTTGCCTTAGGTTCCTAGGTGTGGGGCTGTTCCTGGGGCTCACTGAATTCTTCAGCTGTTGACAGATAAGAGCTTTATAGACCTGATGTCAGGGAAATCACCAATAAATGGAGTTTTAGACAGGCCGCACCCTCTGCTGGCTCCAGTGGAGGTTGTTATCTAACACTCTCACAGGAAGTCAGACCCCGTGAGGGAAAGAGAGTGCACAGGACGGAGAAGGCACGGGGAGAGGAGTCACATTCCTGGAACGTTTTTAAAATTTTCTCTGGAGGGGCTGAAGAGATGAGTTAAGAATGCTGCTGGCGGGGCTGGAGAGATGGCTCAGCGGTTAAGAGCACTGCCTGCTCTTCTAGAGGTCCTTAGTTCAATTCCCAGCAACCACATGGTAGCTCACAGTCAACTGTAGTAAGATCTGGCGCCCTCTTCTGGCCTGCAGGTACACAGGCAGTACAGAACACTGTATACATAATGAATAAACAAATCTTTAAAACACCAATGTACATAAAATAAAGTTAAATCATTAAAAAAGAAATACGAGGTTTTGTTTATACTCTTAGGGCTTTTATAAAAAAGATTGCTCAAATTAAAAAAATTCCCTGGAAAGAACTCAATTAGGAAGAGGACTGGGAGAAGGCGCCTGAGGATTTGCCTGTGAATTCCACAAATCACATGCCTGGAACTCAGTGGGCTTGAAACATGCCATTTGCTAGTCAAAATGCAGTTGCTCAGCATAGAGCTTTTATGTTTCATGGGATTTTTATTTTATTATTTTATGTATCTTTTGTCTGCATATGTGAGCTGTGCTTGTGAGACTAGGCCTGAAGAAGGTGTTGGAGCCCCTGGAACTGGAGTTATAGACAGTTGTTCCCATGCAGGTAATGGGGGCTGAACCTAGGTCCTCTGCAAAGGCAGCTGGTGCTCTTAACTGATGAGCTACCTCTTCTTCAAGTATTTTTTTGTTTGTTTAATTAAGAAAGAGATGTGTGTGCGTGTGTGTGTGTGTGTGTGTGTGTGTGTGTGTGTAGATGTATGTGTGTGTGTGTGTCTGTGTTGGGTATTTGTACGTGATGTGGGTGCTTTCAGAGGCCAGAAGAAGGCATTGGATGTCCTGGAGCTGGAGCAGAGGGAGTTGTGAGGTGTCTGAAGACCCAAGCAGGGTCCTCTGCAAGAGCAGGGAATACTCTTAACAACGGAACCGTTTCTCTAGTCACTTACTGCTTGTTTTAATGGAATGTGTTGGGTGTCTCCACAGTTCTGATTAGGTGACTGCAGAGCGGGGAAACTGTTGCTGCTATTGATGCAGAACACCCTAATATTATTGGTACATGAACACACACATATACACACATATATGTTTTGAAGTTTTGGAAATTTAGTTGTGTGGTCAAATTTAGTTTAAAGAAAAAAGGAGTCTCCCATCTTACTGTGTTGGGTTGGCATTATAGAGAAATTAGCAGCTGTATTGGTCTAGACACATTAAACTTACCACCCCCCTTGTACAGAGCTAACTCAAGGCACTAAATGTGTAAGTTCTTATCTATGTGGGCTTGACTACAGACTAACATTCCATTCTCTAATGAAGAAAACATTGTTGCACTCCTGAAGACTCTCAGGCTGTGAGACCTCTGTGCTGCGTGGGATGTGCCTGTTCAGGTTTGAACATCTAACGCCCACGGTGCAGTGAACACAGGAAAAGGCCTATTTACCTCCCAAATCTTAAACATGGTTCAGAGCCTGCAGCCTAGAGAAGGAATTGAAATTTCCCTGAGAATCTCATGGGAGAAGGAGAAGGCTGAAGCCTGGTGCTAGCCAGAGGGGGAGCTTGTCTTCTGCGCAATTCCACACACTTCGGAGGACTTGTCAGATCACCTTGCAGGAGACTGGAGCTGAGATGGACAGGACCACACTTGATCAGGACAGACCTCTGGCCATCTAAACATAACCTCATATTAGGACACCAAAGATGGACTGGGTGGGGAGATGGGGTTGCTAAATTTTTCTTTCTTTCTTTCTTTCTTTTTTTTTTTGTTAATTAGCCTTATTTATTTATTTATTTATTTTTATTGAAGGTCCCTTACTGATCCTGCTTTCATGAGTGACTGAGAACAAGGGAAAGGGGAGGGCAACCAGCTGGCAAAGGAGGGTCACTTCCACATTTCATTTACACACAGAACTAAACAGACAAGCACATGGTCACTATTGTGGTTAGAAGTTGGCAGCATGGAATGGGGGGGATGAGGAATAGGGGTGTCGTAAAAAAAGTCAGGCTCCCCCAAACTGGGTGCCTGGGAAGGGACTTGGTCTGCTTCAACCCAAGAGGAATCAGAAGATCAAAAGCAGTTTGGAAGGCCAGAACCGTCAGGGTGGAGGGGGAGGGAGAAGGACGGTCCAGGGGGTGGGGAGGACATTTGGCAACTGGGGTAAAGGGATTACCCTCCCCCTGCTGGGATCCCCCCAGCCCCTCAGGTCTGGCAGGAAAGGGGCAGCCTGTAACACCCATGAGCAGGTCTGGGGCTGCTAGATGCTCCATGCAGGGGGCTGGAGGCGGCTCACAAAGGCTTGCCCTCCAGGGAGATGACGGCACTACTACCTAGTTTTTCTGTCCTTGACCTCCTCGTAGCAGTTTGCTTGTAATTCATGCTTGATTCCTGTCAGCTTCTTCTTGATGGCATCCTTGGAGCTGGCGTAGATCATTTTGCTCTTAAGGGATGCACTCTCAGGGGCCCAGAAGATGAACATCAGGTCCTCCTTCTTGCTCTCCTTGGTCTCGTAGGTGGCATCGTAGAGAGCGTAGCAGCAGTCCTTGTCTGGCAACATCTTGACAAAGGTGGTGTAAGGGTCGTCCACAGTCTGCCCCACATCTCCTACCAGGATCTCCTTGCCCTCCTCCAGGATGATGTTCTTCTTGTCCTCACTCAGACAGAAGAGCACCGCCTTCTTGGGTTTCTTCACTTCTTCTGGCATCGAAGACTTGCGCACTTTCATGTCATTGAACATTTTGATGACACCGTCAGAGACAGCCACACCAGAGGCCATGTTTTCAGAAGCGAAAGGGAGACGGGGAGAGCTACAGAAGAATTGAGCCGCCGCAGCTGCTACCAGGATCCGACTCCTAAATTTTTTTTGAATAAATACCTGTTCATCTTCACAATGTACAAGTTCTGAGATGGCTTGTTGGCTGTTGCTGACTCAGCTGACCTCCCCTGGGAAGTGTGTGCACAGACTCCTGGCACGGTCACCACACACACATGGAGCCCACCTTTGCAAACAGGGGCTTTATTGACCATGGAACACTTGTGCTGGGTACTTCAAATTCCTTTCATCCTGTGAGTGTTTTTGAGGACGTTTGAACCACAAGATAATTTTGGAAAAGCCTTCTGTGACAGTCTGCTCATGCTCTGCATAAGCCAGATGAACATATTTGAGATAAGAAAAAAAAATACTTGAATTGGGTTGGAATTGTGCACCTGAAGCCAGGCTGAACTCTGGACATATCAGCGGTTTTCTGCTTCTGGATCTAAGTGACAGTCTACAAAAATCAGATATGCTGCCCAGGTCACTAGCATCACATGTTGGTAATTCACACGTAGTTCCTAAAACAGCACCATAGTCCAGAGGAAGTTATCCCAGTGCTTCAGAAGGCACGGGAAGCCTGGGGAGCAGGCACAGGAGAATCCCTTTGTGCTTTCTGCCCTCATTGGTTCTTCTGTTTATTTTTTCCTTCAGACCTGCTACTCCCCGACAATTCTCCATTCTAGCCATTGCTTATGACAAACCAAATAAAACAAAATTGCAACATTTGTGGTCCCCAGAAAAATAAAATTGTTGAACTGTCGTAAAGTTTCTAAATTTATTTTCTTCCATCCTTCTTCTTCCTTTCTTTTTCTTGGTTTTCTTTTTCCTTTCTTTCGTTCTTCCTTCCTCCTTCTTTCCCTTCCCTCCCTCCCCCCTCCTTCCTTCCCTCCCTCCTTCTTTCCTTCATTTATTTATTTATATTTATTTATATATTTTTTTGAGACAGAGTTTCTCTGTGTAACAGCCTTTGCTGTCCTGAAACTTTCTCTGTAGATCAGACTGTCTAGAACTCAGATCCTTCAGCCTTTGCCTTCTCAGTGCTGGGATCAAAGGCCACCACACTTGGCTTTGGTTTTCTCTCTCTCTCTCTCTCTCTCTCTCTCTCTCTCTCTCTCGTGCATGTGCTGTGTGCATGTGCGCATGCATGAGTGAATGGGAAATACTCAAGTCACAGCACATTTGCAGTGGTCAGATTACTTGCTGCTGTGTTGTGTACTCCAGGCAAGCTAACCTACAAGCTCCTGGGAGCTTCTCCTGCCTCTGCCTCCCACCTTGCCCTAGGCATTCTGGGAATACAGCTGCATGGCACACATCCAGCTTTGTATGCGGGTTCTTAGGAATAAACTCAGGTTGTCAGGCCTGCACGACTAACATTTTTACCCCCTAAACTTGGCTCTTTTTTTCTACATTTCTCATGTAGACCAGGCTGCCTCAGATTTGTTATTGGGAGAGGCTAGCCTTGAACTCCTTACCCTCTAACATCTATTTTCCAGTGCTGAGATCCCCAGCATTCCAGCTCCCGTCCTTTCCTACTCCTTGTCTTCCTCCTCTTCTTCTCTCACAGAATTTCTATGTAGCCCAGGGCTAGACTCAATTTTACAATCCTCCTACCGCTGCCACTGAGAGATGGAATTACAGGCATGGGCCACCATACTCAGATCTAAATTTCTTTTTTTAAAATAAATTGCTTATTTTATTTATTGTGTGTGTATTTGTGTGGGTGTGTACTTGAATACTACAGTACATGTGTGGTGGTTAATGACACCTTACAAGAGTCTATCCTCTCCTTTTACCATTTGGGGGCTAGGGATTGAACCCAGGTCATCAGGGTTGGCAGCAAGCACCTTTGTCTGCTAAGCTATCTTGAGGGTCAGTTCTTTTTTTTTTTAATATACTCTCCTCTCATGTATTACATCCAGACTGCAATTTCCCCTCCTTTCCCTCCCCCTAGTCTCTCTCCCTACTCCTCTCCTCCAAATTCACCCTCCTTTCATCTCCCCTCAGAAAAGAGCAGGCCTCACAGGATCATCAACCAAATACAGCATAATATGCTAGTATAAGGCCAGGCATATACTATCATATCAAGGTTGAATAAGGCAATATAATAGGAGAAAAAGTGTCCCGTAAGTAGACAAAAAGTCAGCAACTGCCCCCACTCCCGCTGTTAGGAATCCACAAGAACACTAAGTTACTCAGACACAACATATATGCAGAGGACCTAGGTCAGACCCCTATAGGTTCCCTGAACTCTGCAAGCCCTCGTGAGTTCCAGCTGATGTGGGATTCCCCTCTGTATACTGTGAATATATTTTATTGCCCTTATTAAAGAAACTGCTTTGGCCTATGGCAGGGCAGAATATAACAAGGCAGGAAATCCAAGCAGAAATAGAGCAGGAAAGAAGGCAGAGTCAGAGAGACACCATGTATCTGCCCAATAAGCGAGAGGTAACAAACAAATTTCCTGCTTCATGGGAAAGTCTGCCAGTTATTATGGGCCAATAGGCTGAAGATAGATGCCCCAATGTTACAGAAGATCTTTGGGTGAATGTCTAGGCAACGAGATGTCTCTGTCAATTCTAGAGTTTTGGAAGTTGCTTACAATGTACTTCATGATTACTTAGGTAATATTATACCTTCTGGGGTCCTTTATGGAGTTGAAGACAGATAGTTATAGTTTTCCTTAGTTATGATAAGAGATAAATTAGATATGAAACTTTCCAGATACAAATAGACTAAATACTATAAGTGTGATTATTGTTTGATACCTGTTTTGCGATATATAATTTTATTATGTTTAAGTTAAAACCTTCCTTTATATTTAGTCAGAAAAGGGGAGATGATGTGGGATTCCCCTCTGTATGCTGCGAATATAGTTTATTACCATTGGTTAATAAAGAAACTGCTTTGGCCTATGGCAGGGTAGAATACAACAAAGCAGGAAATCCAAGCAAAGATAGAAGAGGAAAGAAGGTGGAATCAGAGAGACGCCATGTAGCCACCAAAGAAGCAAGAGATAAAAAACTATGAGCCTTGTGGCAAAATATAAAAGAATAGAAATGGGTTAATTAAAGATGTAAGAGCTAGTTAGAAATATGCCTGAGCCATCGGCCAAACTGTTGTAATTAATATAGTTTCTGTGTGATTATTCAGGCCTGGGTGGCTGGGCGACAAAGCACAGCCTCCATTTATACCCAGTCAGTTGATTCTGTCGGCAAAATTCTCATGGTGTCCCTGACTCTTCTGGTTCCTCTGATCCTTCGTCCCCCTCCTCTGCAAGGCTCCCTGAGTTCTGTCTAATGTTTGACTATGGGACTCTGAATCTGCTCCCAGCAGTTGCTGGATGAAGCATCTCTGGTCTCTTTGATGATGATGTTTCTGCTAGGCTAGGCTCTGGTCCTAGAACAGTACATAGGCAGGACAAACTACAGGTTGAAAGTTTTGTGGTTGGGTTGGCATCCCAATCTTTCTGCTTGAGGACTTGACAGGTCACAGAAAATGGCTGGTTCAGGCTCTGTGTCCTCCATTACTAGACATCTTTGCTGGGGTTACTCTTATAGATACTTTGGAGTTTCCCTTGCACTAGGTTTCCACCTTGTCCCTGACATGCCCCTCTATTCCATTCGTTTCTCTCAGTATTTACTCCCCACTACTATTTGATCGCTCCTGTTTCCACCTTCACCTATCCCTAGTCCACCCACAAAATCTGTTCTATTTCTCCTTCCCAAGGAGATCCTCGCACCTGCCCTTATGCCAGATGAATCTCTGAGTTTGAGTCCAGTCTGGTCTGCAGAGAAAGTTCCAGGACAGCCAGGACTATAGAGAGAAACCCTGACTTGTGGTGAAGGGCAATGGGGAAAGTCTATTTGAGGGCCAATTCTAAACTTCTTTTAAAGAAGAACTGTTAAAGACGACATAAGTCAAAACAGCAATGCCACCTGCCATACCACTGAAGCACTAGGAAGGTAGGGTATCATTTGGAGACAGACCAGGCTCATCCACCTGCCTTTGATTGGTGCCGACGTGGCCTCCCACACTGGGTGGCACAGGGGTGACAGGAGGAGAAGGGGAGCTCACCTTCTGCATCTCCTTGCTCCTCCCTAGCTCCCACCCCCACCCCACCTCCCTCTTTGAAGTCTTATTCCTTCTTCTCACCTTCCAGGGAACCTCTGGCATGCCGAGGGACAGTGCCCCACCATTTGCTTCCTTCTGGAGTTTCTGATGCCTTGACCCTGGGCTCTGGCCAGATGCAAATGCGGTTGTTGCCTGTCTATGCCTTCCAGCTTTGGAGGGTGGGTCTGGGTTGGGCTCCTCAGCAGTGGAGCGCACACTTCCGGGTAAGGAGAACTGAGTGTTATGGTCTTCTCAGCATGTTGTTTAGCCTCATATGAGGACAGCAAACTCTTCCTGTCCTCTGACTTTAACTGGGCCCTACATGAGGAGATCGCCCTGAACAGAACCGTGAGAGGACACTGGACTTCCTCCTGGGCTTGGCTCACAAATCTCTTTTGTTAGGTATGTGGGGTCAATGGCAAATTGTTTCCTGGACTATTTCATAAACGAGTGGGGTGAGGCACATCTTATTTTCCCCCAGGTAGGTATAACTCACCATTTTAACAGATTAGGAAGGCGCGGCCCATAGAGAAGGGATCACATAGCTCATAAGCTTCCACACTGGATTCCAAACAAGCCACAGCTCTTTGCACATCATCTTAACTGCTTGTTAAAAGAAAGAAGCAACACAGAGCATTAACCAGGGCTCAGCGGCTATGAGTATGGGCCCTATGACATCCCAGCAAGATAGGTCTCCCTTCTCAGTGCCCTGGGCAGAAGCCCTCTTCACCAGTGGGACTTTTTAACGTCTGGTTTTCTGTGTGTTCCCGAGAGTATGTATGTGCAACACAGGTGCGCAGGTGTCTCCGGAGGCCAGAAGATGGCATCAGAGCTCCTAGAGCCGGAGTATG